AGTTGAAGTAGAACTACTGGATGTCGTTGAAGTTGATGTACTTGTGCTGGAACTGCTGCTTGTTGAAGTTGATGTAGTTGTAGTTGAAGTCGAGGTAGTTGTGCTGGTAGTTGATGTAGTTGTACTACTAGTTGAAGTGCTAGTAGAAGTGGTACTTGAAGTAGAACCAGTTGACGTTGATGTAGTTGACGTCGTGGTAGTGATTGTCGATGTTGTTGAAGTTGATGTGCTTGTTGTGGAACTGCTAGTTGTTGAAGTTGAAGTCGAGGTAGTTGTGCTGGTAGTTGATGTGCTTGTGCTACTAGTTGAAGTACTAGTGGAAGTGATGCTTGAAGTAGAACTAGTTGATGTTGATGTAGTTGATGTGGTTGTGGTTGTAGTTGAAGTGCTAGTAGAAGTGGTACTTGTAGTAGAGCTAGTTGATGTAGTCGTTGTTGTGTCTGAAGTAGTTGTTGCTAAAACAATGAAGAATAAAGAAGATTAATAATTGTTAAATAGCAAACCAAATTTTTATTTTGCTTGACGTTGACGAAATTGTAAGATGCCAAGAAAGCTAAATTTGAGTAGAAATGATTTTAGTTTTATTCATCTATCATTAGACAGAGTTTAGTTCGTTGGTCAGGAACATGTATCTTTCGATTTTTTTTCTATCATCTTTTAAGAAAGAAAACTTGCAAATAAGTTGATGATTGTAAGAATGGACAATAACTATTCATCTAGCAAAACTTTCAATTTTTTATCATTTGACATATTCGAAATTAGCTCAAGAAAACTTGCATAAAACCACACACATTTCACTGAAAAACTATTCCAACCAAAAAACTCATCTTTATTCGGCGTCCGATAATATTTTTGAGAAATTATGCCTGAAGTTCACTTGAGATGAGTTTGTGATTGAAAAAGTTTTTCGAATGGAATGTATATAATTTTGTACAAGTTTTCTTGAGCTAATTTCGAATATGACAAATGATAAAAAATTGAAAGTTTTGCTAAATGAATAGTTATTGTCCATTCTTACAATCATCAACTTATTTGCAAGTTCTCTTTCTTAAAAGATGATAGAAAAAAAATCGAAAGATACATATTTGTGATCAGTGAAATCAAACTCTATTTAATGATAGATGAATAAAACGAAAATCATTTCTATTCGAATTTTACATTGTTGTCACCTTACGTTGAGGAATGTACTTGTTGCTAGGCAAAAAATGGTTAGAATCTAAGTTGAAATTTTCTCAAAAAAATAATCAAGTGTAAATTCATTTTCTACTGGAAGTAACTTCAATATTTCGCTCAAATAGGACAGGTTCGAATAATTATCAAAGCTTGAGTGTCACCTCAAAAGAACTAAATTATGTTTGAATGTTTTTTTTAGAATGATAGAGTGTGATTCGAACGTAGTAGAATCAATTGGACGGGGGGGGGGGGGGGGGAGTGATTTCTCGCTAGTTTTTCTTAATAAGTCAATTAATATCCATCATCTTGAATTATCTAGTAGTAAAGTTGGTATTATTTTCAATGATTCTTCAAATATGGTTCTGTTTTAAAAGTTCTTTCTAATATTAGTATTCATGTAAAAAAAAAAATTATAAAATTCGAGAGAAAAAGCTCTTTCAACATTGTCAGATAATTTCAATCGTTCGTGCAAACAGGTATATATTAAGTCATGCCAATATCGGATTAATTAATTAAAACACTTCCAATCTGATAGTCGCTTGATAACTTCTCAGTTGAATCTAAGATTGAGGTACCCACGGAAAAATTTTTTGAATAAAACTGCCGTGTACCGCAGTGTTTTCATATGAGTACTCTGAATCAGTAGACCTGACTCAGGATGACTAGACATAAAGTCCCCTTGGGATGAGAGAGTTATTGAGAAAATTTTTTAAATATATTAGAAATATTAGGGCACGACCATCTTCATTGTCCTGACACATTCCTTCATGCTTCAATATGTATTACACAAAATGTATAAAGACAATAGTGGATATTAGATGCGTATCAATTACAAAATCCGCGATTTTATGGAAAACTTTGTTTATCAAGTAACTGATGGCGATGAATTGTGACTATGGTTAACTTCATTATGGTATTTGAGTTTTTTAAAACTGCAGAATTAGATACTACGGTTACAACTAAGACTATTGTGGTTTGATCTAGAACTAACACGTTATTGGAAATCGCTACTAACTTCAATACCAGACCTCTCGTTTACAATCAACATCACTGTGATTTGCAAAACCGTTACTCGCCATAGTATTCAATACCGTGGTTACAACTATTATTAACGTGGCTTATAAAACACTGTCACTAAACCTAATAACAGATTTTGCGGTTATTATGAGAAAGACGGCGATATTGAAAATCAGAACCCACCACAGCATCAGATATCGTGGTTTTACTGAGGTTCAGCTCGGTATATTGGAAACCATGACTAATCGTGATATATGATACTGTGGTTTGGCTCTAGGAAAACGCTGTTTATGAAATGACCACTAGCCGCAATATGTAATCCGTAGTTACGATCATGTTTACCGCAGTTAATGAAACCGCAACTAATTGCAATATATAATACAGCGATTGACCGCAGTTTTATTCAAAACGATCTTCCATGAACGCTAGATTGGTAGAAGATACTAATATGAAATAATTTCTTAATAACTAAGTTGATTGGCTCTTTGTTTTTAGATTACAAGTAGACTTCAATGAAGTATTGAAAAAATCAGGAGAATTCATTTTAGTAAAATTTGTGTTCTCGAGTTATGATTGTTCATAAAAGTTCTAATTTTTCGTGAAGAAATTTAATACTATAAATGAATGACATATTACACATCTGAAAATGTTTTATGAATATAAATCCGACAGTTACGACTTCTGTTGATCGTCTCATGACATGAGCACATACTCCTCCAGATAATGAATTTTTGGGACCATTTAACCTCTCTAAAATTAATCATATCCTGCACGCCTATTTTTGATTTTCCCTAGACTATAAGGATAGGGTCTAGAAACGGGAATTGATCTGTCTGCACGTATATCGTTTTTGTTGGTAACATGGCACAAACGACCATTTTTTTGGTACAAATGACCATTTTTTGGTATAAATGACTATTTTTTTGAGACAATGACCACCTACCTATGGTACCAGTGACCATTTCGGTAAATATGGTACAAAAGACCATATAGCACCCATATTACTAATCAGTATATGACGTATAATGAAATTTTGACAAGTGAACCAGAACGAATACGTAATTTTATGATGTATGAAAACGATATTATTTTAAATAGAATTTTTTTGAGTATAAACAGCGCTAATTTTATTAGCGCTTTTTGTACTCAAAAGAATTTTAGTATTAACCTTTTAATCTTAATCTTATAACTTTCTAATGCATGTGTGTCGTTATGGCGTCAGTCTAGAGCCAGATGAATCGACTGTCGATGAACGTTACTTGTCATTATGCCAAGAACGGAATATTTATTTAGACAGAAACTTGGGAGATAATTGATACCCAATTTTTTTCATATCTATGTAATAAGTGAACATTAATCCAGATCGAATAATATGACATGTAAAACGTCTTCACACGGTTAACCCATATCATTAATTGTTTTTTCTCGATATCAACGATCGATCATGTTTTATAGAAAGAAAACGACCAGTATCAGTGATGAATTTAGAGGGGGTGCTGAGGACAATCACCTCCTTCCACAAAAGTTCTTTCGGTTTTTTCTAACAAAAAAGGCTTTAAAATGAACCGATACTATCTCTAGTGAACTTCAAAACACTTTTTCTGATCATAATCCTTCCCTACCCAATTCTCACCGAATCGTCTCTATCATAAAAACCCTAGACTCTCCACAGGATAATACGAGCACTTAAATCTTTTTTTTAAACTAGTTTTTCATTGACATTTCTCTTAGTTTGATATGGTCTTACTTGAAAGCATCTATTTCAATTGAAACAATGCTGTGCAACTACTGCGAAGACCTATCAGCAAACAACTATAAATTTCCAATCAAAATCGGCTCATGTTTGATTCATAAGAGTCGAAAAATTTTCGAAACAATAAAAACCACTCCAACCACCAGGTTACAAACCCTTTCAAACATAAATTCATCCTAACCCAAAACGTCATTCGACATATAAAGACTCTGACAAATCACTACTGACGAAATCTATTCCGCACCGTCCCCTTCACGAATGCGTCTAGATTCATCGTTCTGTCGAGTTGCCCAGGCATGTATATTACATCAATGCATGAACCATGTATTTGATTCTTTCTCAGAAGTCAAAACAATTCTCTACCGGCAAACGATCTGTAGTGCCTGAAAATTATTAAAACTGGCGAAAGAGTCACATAAGCATTTCGATCCTTGCCAAAAATCCTTTGCAATTCCTATGCATTCGTTTACCGAGAAACAATAAGATGGCCATTAAATATTCCATATGATTTTGCATTACTTGACATGCAATTCATTCTCTACAAACAAATGCGTAGTAGCCGTAAAGGACTTTCGCCAAGATGTCGCATGCTTATGTGACTTTTTCGCCAGTTCTAGCAATGATTGACACTACCGGCCGTTTGCCGAGAGAGAATAAAGTGGCCATCAGATAGCCCACATGATTATACATTGATTGACATGCAATTCATGACCCAACAAACGAATGCATAGGATCTGTAAAGGACTCGCTGAAGGATATATAATTTTTTTTAGTATTTACATGATTGTGCGTTGGCAGAAGTATAGTTCATGCCGAAGGAAAGGACAGGCGAATCAGAGATGTTTTTGTAATGGGGTTGATTTAGGTGCAAATAAGATTATTTATTTGTTCTGTTGTCATTTGTTATCGCAGGGGTATTTGTCGGGGGAAAGATTTCTGCGGTTGAGATTTCTCGTGTTTCTCTTTTTAACAGTTGTCTATGTGCACTCTCAATAGAGCTTATTTAATGACTGGTTTAAGGCGTCAGATCAAATCATCACTATGATCCTAGTCCCAGGTTGTGTCGTATCAGTTTCACATCGGTTTTGGAATATCTAAGTCTATTATTTTAGATGACGCCATGCTTTTTTTCTGTCGATTTGCTTCTTTGACTCATCAAAATTTTTGTAGTACAATCTTTACTAGTTAATCAAACTAGAAAATTAAGTCGCAGTGACCAATGTGGCTGATACAAGTGGCTTGAACGCACTCAATTACAAGGAAGCATGATTACGAATGAAGTCTAACGTTCTTCTAAGAGTTAAAAGATATTCATGGAATGACATATTTCAAAAAAAATTCAAGCAAAAGAGCCATAGTTGTTGGAATAGTAGATCGTGATTAACTGCCAGTTTTCCACCAGTTACTATGACATGGTAAATTGCAGAGACTTTTGAGTTGAAGACGATGGTTATATAGGATGTTTCATGTTACGGTTCTTCGCAGCGCAAAACAGTACCATCTACAACGATCTTTTACAGTGAAATGTAAACGTGCTATGTCTGACAACTGTATACATGCTATATTCATGCTACATTATTGAAGTGTCCTTAATTCATAGGTCGTTTTTCTATAATGCTATACGATCAATAACTGTTGTTGAATTCGATCTGGGGCTATGAAGGTTTTCATGAGCAAATATTACTAAGAACTAGTTTATGCTTAATACATTTCTTTTTCAATTCAGTTAATATCACACCATCATTGATTTTTTTCAACTGTTTTACATATCAATCGATCGCTTTTGTTGAACTCTACCGAACAAAATCAACTATAACATTAAAAAATATCTTTCGATTATATTTAATAGCAACCAATATTGATGTTACTGTTAGGACTATACAGAAATATGCAATGTTTTTTTTTATTCACATTTGCAGTTTCTTCTTACGAAGTAATTACTATACGTGTTAAGGGTACCTCAATAGAGTTTCTATCATCTCATGAAGCTTCCAAAGTCTGAAAGACTTGCTATTGATAGACAATTAGTCTTTAAGTTTGTTACCTGCACGTGCTTCAATAATCACGAAAGACTTCATGTTTTTTTTAATAATGTTCTCCTAACCTGATACCAAATAGTGAGCAGTAGTGTCAATGAGCAGATGAGCTCATTTAAAGCTTTATCTCTACAGGAGGGCAATGGCAGCGTTAAGATGATCATTTTAAATAAATACCGAGCTATTCGTGAACTTTTTGCAATGCAAACGTAGTTATATAGGGTTATTTAAGTTTAACTGTGTTGAAACCGTTTTCAAAAACTATGAAGGACTTCCTGTGCTACAGATGAACAAAACTATATACCATTAACATACGGTATATAAAGTGTAGGTGTTGGTATCTGAGTTTGGCATTCTTCCAGACTCACGTCCACACACCTACATCCCACACGCAAAACATAAACTCAGTAGCGTAATTCATTTCGTATTTATGAAATAAAAACAGTCCGGTAACTTTTTGAACACGGGTGTAGCGACTCATTGAGCAATACATATTTATCACACTTTGAATGTGTGAAATACCCCGTGTATTATTATCAACAAATATTTTCTAAATAATATATAATCAATCATGCAACGCTGTATCACTCCTCCAATCCTTAAAACGCCATTCTTGAGAAACAAAAAGACAAGTTATCACAGGCTTCTGATTCTTATGAGCACGAAGCTTCTAGACATTGCCAATTTTATCAATCAGAAAATAACGTAGGTGAGTAATTTCGGCACTCGCGCCCGTAGATTTCTGGGCGGTTGCGATCGGAAAGCTACAGAAAATGATAGGAGGAAAACTGGTCATTGATTACACGCATGATAGTCCTCCTCCGAAGTTCATGTAGGTTTTCAGAATTTCTTGGCCAATATCAATTAGCAACCTATATAACTGAATAGTGAATTCATTGAGGCGGATGACCGAAACAAATTGAATTTGTATAAACACATAACTATCATATTATTCATGATTCGATGCAACAAGTTGGTTTCTGAAAGCTACAGCCAATCATTCCATCATTTTGTTAAGCTATTACTGTTTTTTCTTTCACCACGAAAAGCTTTGTTCATATAATTTCTTGTGCCCACATACTACTCTACACATACAACAAATAAGCAGTCGGCAAGTAGTGTCATGGGCAACTCTTGTGATAGTTCTATATCGACTAATCCGGGAGTTACAATTCTGAAATTTTCAGCAAAGAGTCGTGGAAAACTGTACTAAAACTGTAAGATAAATCGATTCAATTTATCTTGAATATATGTAGTTCACTAAATCGTAGATATAATCATTCAGTAAAAGTTTTTCATTGAAGAAAGAATTTTTCAATGGTTGCACAATAGTTTCTTATTCAAGTTTGATTCAAGTTAACTGCGAAATTAGGCTTTCTAATGAGAAGTTGCACAAATAAAAACATGTTGAAGTAACTTAATCATGGAAATTGGAAACTTTAAATAGTATTTCATTCATAACCTCGCTATATTTTATGGATTTAAGAATAAATTTACGCTGGCAATTAGATCTTATTAAGTTCAAGACACACTAAAAATATTAGTCCAAAATCATAAAAAAAACAATATCATTTTGAGAGAAGCAGTTTCTTTTTATAGGACGATTTGAGCGGAATGAGACGACTATCTTCAATTCATTAGTTATTCATGGATAAATAAAAACATACCATGAACATTCTTCATCAATGCTATAATAATTCAATAATATCAATGGACTTTATTTCCAATTTGCCTATAAGCCACCAGGCAGCTAAAATAAGGATCAACGTGTGTTTATCTGTTGCTGAGGACGATCTAGTTTTTTTTATCTACTTTTCTCATTCACCCATTCACTTTTCATACATATGTATGAAAAGTGAATGGGTCGATGAAAAGAGTTGATCAGAACAACCAAATCGTCCTAAGCAACAGATAAACACACATCGTTCCTTGTTTAGCTGTCTGGTGGCCTATGCGCGAACTGGGATGAGACTTATCGATCTACCTATTTACATATAAAGTTTGAACTCTTTCAAAATTGTTTGACTAAATTTTTTGTTCGAGATAGTAGCGAAGAAAAACATCAAACGTCAAAACTCCAGACGACTTTCTAAGGCTCAAAAGCCGAAATATTTTGTTTTCTCTCGATTAGCTGTGTAATCATATTTTATATATATAGATTCGTCTAAAATAACCAATACTAGAACCTTACTGGATGTTGTTGTTGTTGTTGTACATGCACACGGGCATAAACAGCGAAGGTCTTCCTGTAGTTGACGTGCAAAACGGGGATGAATATCAGATTCTCTGTAGAACATAGATGAACTTCCTAAAGCTAAACAATACAGATGCATTTAAAAGCTGTAGAATATCTCGAAACATATTACCTTCAATTGATAACCCATGAAGAATACCAATTGAACATAAGGAAATCCACAAGAAGAGCTGCCAAAGACTCTATTTAATGAATGAAAAATCATAAAAGAGATTATTAGAAAGAATACAACTGTTTAGTTAGACAATAATTAAAGTTTGAACAAAGTGTGTCCTCCTAGGACGATCATTTTGACCATCGGAAACGGCAATCTACAATACCGTGAATTGCTATACAATGGCCAAATTGCTGCTAGAAATGCAACGATGACAATAACTGGACCATCAGTAACTGTTTTACCAGTACTTCCTGGTATTTAGCGGTACATATAGTTTTTCCAAATCTTCGAGTTTGATTTTTGGGGTCTCGCGACGCCTTTTTACGTAGATAAGGAGTTTTCATAAAACTTGCCTGACTCATATGAAAGTGGCCTTTCCTGACACAAAAATTTTGAAAAATCATCTATATCGTTAAATATCGATTCATACCGGTTATCGGTTTAGAACGGTGAACGATCGTCACTGTTGTACTATCAATATCTGTCATATAAAATAGCAAGGGGGAAACAATGAAGACTTAGGATTTGAGATCTCATGCAGTTTCTTAAAGTATTTGGAAGTCTTATGAAGTATTGAGGTCGTAGCTTTTAATATATGCTGAAGCCCATTGAAGTTCTATGAAGCCCTGTGAAGTATCTTGAAGTCTGTGAAAGTTACTTAAGATCTTTGAAGAAATTCAGAAGTCTTGAAATCAGTGGTTTCCCCTCGAGCAACAAAAAGTATGGCTAGCTTTGTCGGCTTTTGAGCCGCACACCTTTATCTCAGATTACAATCCGATTTTTACTGTGAAACAAAGAGCCCCGTTTAGAGTCTTTTTCGTCAAACAAGAAAATCATAATAAGTATTAGGATTGTACTTTCAGTGTATATCATCTTACTTACATCATGTTTTGTCCAAATGGCTTAACCTATCTACTACTATTAGATCCTATGCAACATCTTGTCTACGTTTGCATTTCGTTATGAAATATTTTATTACGTGAATAAAATTCATATATTTCGATATGAGACGAGCAAGGTAATAATCGGAATTCGAATAAATTTTTCATTAAAGATCTGAAATACAAAAGAATGAGTCTTCTCACTTGTGTTGCTGCCATGGGAAGAATAGCAGTGAATAAAAAATATGCAAAAACCATGTACTTTTTTTCAATAATTTGAAATTTGGTGAGGTCGTATCGATCATCGCATAGTATGCAAAGAGCCTTTATTAAAGGACGCGCATCATATACATATATATATAATGTTCAGCGTGTGCCTACCTGTCTGTGCCCAGGTCAAAAGTTAAAGGTTTGAGGAAACGGATCAAAGGTCAGGGTGTGGTGGCGTGTAGGGTACGATGAAGTGATAGTGGGTGGATTAGAGCTGATGTAGGTTGTGGAATAACGGTATTGAGTGTACGTGTGGTATGGGGATGAGATGGATGTGGTGCGAGAATGCGAAGAGTGTGGCTTCGCGGGTGGGATGTAAGGGTGCTCTTGAGGGATGTAGTTGGGAGTGGATGAGGGCGCGGTTTGGCGTGTGGATGAATGAGGTTGCGGTTGTATTGGGATCATGAAGTAACACTCCCACCACATCTACGTCCAAAATCCTACCTACAAATCTATAATTGCCCACATGCACCTATGCATCCAAATAGTTGTGTGGAAATAGTGAAGATAAGAACTCTAACTACATCTGTGACAATTTTCTCATCGTCGAAAAAACCTTGTTTTCGATGATGGAAACAAACAACCGTGCAACATGCACGAGTTTTCGCTAGTATCATATATAGTACAGCGCGCGAGTAAAATTCATAGCCATGATAAAAATTTTTGAATTTTTTCTTGCGTAGTATCAGCTAAATTAGCAACCTGATAGAATGTAAATATAGAATGAGGCCTACTTTAGAGGAGCGACTAGAAAGTAATCTAATGGATTTTATGATGAAGCGAAAAGTGAAAAGAAAATTCAAGGTTGGTCCGAACTTAAAAGTATAGACTTCTGCGATTATCTTAACATCGAATTGAATAGAGATAACAAGCTATTTGTTTTGCTATCTTATAGTGGAATTCACTCGCGTCAAGTTTATACCTGTGAAAAAACTTTCCAATCGTGTAGTGCAATGATTATGAGAATCATTTTCATTTAGATAAATCCATCCACACTGCTTAGTTCAGGTTTAATCCTATGATCGAATAGGACTCAATAAAATTTATTGATTGATGTATAAAATGGCTCAAAAAAGTGTAGTTGAGACTTCATATTAACCGCCAAAAATACCAATTACAGGAAAAAAACAGTAATTTGTATTGCAATTTCAGCACAGCGTTCTGAAGAACAATACGAGAGTGGCCCACTTAACAGTGATAAATAAGACCACCAAGATTTATCCACGATAGATAGTCAAAGATTGTCTAACGATGATTTTAAGAAATTTAATTTGATGTAAAATTCGATGTGAAAACATCGAATAAATTTCAGTTAGAATCATGATCGTTTCTGTCGGAACATAAGTTTACGGACCATTCTACATGACATGCAATGATATCCGGGCTGACATATGACAGAGATATTCATCATGCGATCTCTATTACTGTCTTAGCCCCAATGAACACATGACAAGAGCAGATGTTAGCAATGATAAATATCTATCTCTACTATATAAGTAATTTTATAACAAGTAAAGACATAAATATTTCTATGCGTAAATTTTAAAATTCGATTCTGTATAAACTTATTCTCTGAAGGTCCTTCGAAATATTTTAAACTCACTTTAATACTTACCATTTTGTTAGATCGTCACAATGACTGCGCGATCTTGAGGATAATCGTTGATCAGAAATTTGATATATATTGCTTGTAAAATTCAAAAGTCCTTGGCAAACATTTTTTTTTCATATCTACAACACGAATGAAATTTTGTTTGTTAACTGTTTTGACAACAGCCATTTCTTCAGCAGGCTCTTATTACACACTTGATCATGAAATGTTTCCTTTTCTGTATTCTAATTGTGTGACTACTCATATATTTTCGTAGTTTTCCTTTATGGCACCTTTAAGTAAAGCATTAAAAAGCGCGGCGTATGTGTGTGAATGAAACTTGCAGTAAATAAACAATGTGTATTTTTTTTTTGTGCTTGTACCTCTATCCTTCTTTCTCTCTGTTTACTGTGCGTACTGCTGTTGCCATCATGATTGTTTTGTTGCCAACGAAGACTCACAAGTTTGATTTTATATTTTTACTGCAATACGTATGCCAACTTTTACTGCTAAGGACATTTGTTTAATAAATTTTCCACTATTCTACAGGTGATGAATGAAACTCACGCTATTTTACAAAAATTATTAATGGAAAGAGTTCTGATAATATCTTATCTTTGAAATCTAGATAAAAAATCCACTTTTTGGAATTATAGCTACTAGAGTTCGAGAAAGATACTCGTTCATTGAAGCCAAGAATGGGGAACGTGTTTTGTTCTTTCGTACACTTGTGCATGTTGTTGTGTCCTTCGACATTTCTCTTCTATTTCGAACACAAAAAAAAACAATTTACTCTCTGCATGAAAAACTCCACAGTGATCCATTAAAATACAAAATAGAATTGAAGGGAATAAAAAAAAACTGCGCAATAAAATGACGAAAGATATGGCAACATAAATGTACATATTGCATTATTCTCTCATTCACTAGAATTCAGTAGGTTTCTATTCAGAACTTTCGTATTCAATTGGGCCGTACTGTTTAAGACACTGTACATACTTTTTAATTGGTTATTACAAAGCAAAGCCTTTTAAGACAGATGTTTTTGAGAATTGCGTTGGAAACTTTAAAGGTAATAAATATTCAATAATCTGTCTTAATACTAAATTTACATTTAACTATATAAGATTTCGTAGCATCCCATGCCGATCAAAATAAATTTCGCTTACGGTCTTTTACATCGTACTACACTATAAAATAGTCTGTGTTTCATCATATGAAGCACTCAGACCCAATTTTTGTCAGTATCATAAAAATATATACATATGCTCATGTTTATACTATGCTAAAGTCGCAATATGACGAACTATATTAATTCGTAACTTGTCGTATTTACGCTATAAATGGCTATATATACGTCTAGACTTTTGACGTACTAAATGCTACGCAATACGCACTTATAAGGGCAACCCATTGAAGTCAATTCTACTAACGGGTGGGCCAGAAGAAATTGTCGGCTTTTGATAGGCCGTTTTCTCAAATTAGACTGGATGAGAAAGTTTCGTTCTGATGTCAAAAGATAGAGAATTTTGTGTAGATTTTATTGATATGTTCTTTGCGAAATAAGTATTTGTCCTTCTCTTGTAGCATTAAAGGTATTCGATACCACAAAAACATCATTTGCTCAGCATTTTACTGGAATAAAGGGTTAGTTTTCTTTGTTAAATGATTCTACGTACATACGCTATTCAAATGCGGTATCATAAAGTACGAAGGCTTATCTATTTTTAAGATCCAATACCAAATCTGGAGACAAAGTTTTATCATTAGAAAAGCCGCTTGCAAAAAATGCCTAATTGTCCAGTTTTCGTACCTTTTTATTGCTGGCGAAAGATCTCAGCCTCATCATTAGTTTAGAAAAGGAATTCAGCTCTTAATAATGAAGAGCATTTTGTAGAGCTTGAAATTCTACATCTTTTGATATAAAAAGACTAGTTTTTGTAAAATCGAGTTCGGAGAAAATTGGCAACGAACAGTACGATTCTGTTAACCCAAGGTATTTTCTTAATATTTTGTGGTTTTTGAAGCAGAAACAATTAAGCTTAAAAAAATAAAGACACCACTAGATACATCGAAAAATTCGGCATCGATTAGTAACAAGAAGAAATTTTTGAACTATAATTAACCGAGCAAAAATTTTAGTTTAAAAGTGTCTCATTTGGCAGTTGAGCAAATGCTGTTTTTGTGGTATTGAATACCTTTAATGCTACAAGAGAAGGACAAATACTTATTTCGCAAAGAACATATCAATAAAATCTACACAAAATTCTCTATCTTTTGACATCAGAACGAAACTTTCTCATCCAGTCTAACTTGAGAAAACGGCCTATCAAAAGCCGGCAATTTCTTCTGGTCCACCCGTTATTTTAGCTTACTGATGATACACGAGGTTGACCATCACCATATCCTTAAACGTAGTCAAAAATAAATATAAATCTACCAGAATTTCATGGTGCACACGCATTCTAATATTCTTGCCAGTAAGCTGTATATGTGGCATCTTGCACAGTCATAAGTGATTATCACACTATTTTATAAACCTGTTTTATTTATGTAGAAAATGTTAAAAAAAAGGACACAAATTTTCAGGAAATCATTGAGATACCAGGAGGATAGATTATTGATGTTGGCCAACCATGAGCCTAATCGGAAATACGATTTAGATAATATCAGTTTTCAAATCAAGACTTTACGACTAGTATAATCATATATATGTCAAACTTAAAAGTCGAGTTTACTTCAGCTTTCAAGTTTCAACTCCGAAATACACACATATCTCTCTCGATTGAGAGTGCCTCGGAAAGCTATTTACAGATTTCAGACTTACGTTGCAATCAAAGCAAAGTTAGTAAAGTTTGAATGAAAGTAAAACATGATTTGAATACTTGCAACAGAATTGTAACCGGTAACAGTGAACGCCCGGTCCAATAGAGGGTCTTTTATCAGTCGATAGATACAACTTTTTCTTTGCCAGCCAGTCTTAGGCTTATTTAGTTTTGCATTTTTTTTTCCAAAAGATTGAACATGAAATAGATTTTTTTGCAAATCAAAGCTTTTTACTAATGTCGAAGATTATATCGATGAGGACATATGCATCCAACTATTCCATTTAGTGAAAATTCGTCGTAGTATCCTTATTATATTTTCTCAACTCACTTTGGTATGACGTCATGTCATTCAAACGAAATTGAATAATTCTTTAACATTGTAATTATTCATAGATTTTTTTATATTTCCTACTATTTATAACATATATTTCTCATGGACATAAGCAATAACAAGGCGAATATAGTGTGGAATATAGATTAAGTATATAGTTTATAAATAGTGTCAATGCCTGGAGACTAGTTAATCTGAATATAAAATCAATATAGAATTTGTAGTCCTATAGTCCTATGAAGGTTTCTGTTCACCAATATATGTCAAGAAAGAGAACATATATGAAAATAAATAGTGAAAAGCACTACAGTCGTGAAACAATATGTTTTGTTTTGCACCATTATTGTAGTGATTAGGAAGAAGATATGACTAATACAGGGATTGATTCATTTGTTATTAGACGATTAGAACTTGAACTGAATGCAGTTTTCACGTTTGACATTATTGCCTATTTCGAAACTGTCACATGGACGCCGCAGTCAACTCTCTATTGGTTGACATAAAGATTATCTATCGCACACACCTGCTCAATAGAGACATCATTTTGTTAATCATACCATCATCACCGAAAACTCTTTATGAAACGAAAAAAAAAGAAAAATTTCTTTCAACAACATTAAAACATGTCCCATACTGTAACTTAGGTATGCTAGATACAAAATTTAAATTTGCATTGAATGATATTTTACCCTTCTATATGACATACTTGAGAACGAAGAAATTTGTTTACTATTAAAATCTGATCACTCACGAGGATGTATTATGAGAAAACAAAACATTTTTTTCAATACCATTAAAGCATATCCCGTGGTGCAAACAGTAGTGTCAAATTTGAAAGTTGCATTCAATTCAAATTCCAACTGTCAATCGCTTATATGTAATATGTCAACGTCTTTCTTATATCCTTTAAAATTACAAAAATATAATAAACATTTAAATTATGTTCTACTGTTACTTCAACTTGACTAAATATACTTCAATTCTCACCTACCCAGGTCAAAGAAAACGGCGTCGTAAACGACCGTAAACGGTATAAAACGGCGAAAAACGGCGCTATTACGGGCCGTAATCCGTCAGCTCGTTTTAAGACCACCGTTTAGTGCAGTAAACGATCATTGTTTTTACAAGAAACGCCCATCGTTTTTCGCCGTATTTTAGTCGCAAAATGAGATGACGAAAATAATGCGAGAAGCAATACTGTATCATATTGCACGATATTTTATGGAGACCATTTTTCGCCATACCATTTTACGGCTAAAATACGGCGAAAAACGATGGCCTTTTCTTGTAAAACCGATGATCGCTTACTGCACTAAATGGTGGTCGTAAAACGGGCTGACGGATTAAGGCCCGTAATAGCGCCGTTTTATACCGTTTACGACGCCGTTACGAACATCCGGAATGATCGACCTGGGTAGGCCTGAAATTTGTAAATAGCTTTTCTGGTCATTCCCATCGGAAGATATGTATACGTATGTGTTTCCGTAGCACCCATATCGAGAGAGATGTGTGTTTCGATATTGAAACTTGAAAGTTGAATTAAATTTAACTTTTCAGTTTCACATATATGTTAAATTGACTGAAGATGCTTCCGTATTGTAGAAAAAGTGTTTTTGTATTTATAATTAGTGATAAGCCTTCACCAAGATTAATATTTCTTCTGTATTTTATGTTGAAAAGCTTGCTGTAATAGAAGCTTATCACAATTTTCTTGCAATGTGCAATGTCGCTTATCTCTAAATTGCGAAAGAGTAGACATTTCTAAAGTACTATAGAATACGTTTATTACTGTCGAATGCATATGCAGTTTCAGAATATATTTAGCTAAAAACACAACGAATAGTAATCATGGATGTATATAATATACA